GCAGTAGCCAAGCCACTGGCTCTCTTACCAGCCCCACCCCACCCCCTCGCTCCACCCCTTCTCTCTGCCTCTTCCTGGGGCGGCGGGCTTTCTCAGCACTTCCTTTCCCTGCCTTCTTCCCCGGCTCCCCTCCCCCTCGCTCTTGCTCTGTCCTCCGGCTCCATTGCCCTCACACAGAGAACAAGTTGGACGGACCAGCACTTGCATTCTCTGTTCTGAGTTGACTTTGTGTCCCTTGGGTGGGCGTTGGTAAAAGTGGGGCTCAGGTTGCCCACATATAACTTGGTCGACGCTTTGCTCTTGTTTTTTGTAAAACCACAGCTTTCTATTTAGAAGAGGTGAGGTTTGGAGAGCAGCTAGCTCCTAAGACACAGTCTGACTGAACTCGTCCACTGCCAGTCCCTCAAGGGGCCACCTCTTACCCTGTCTCCATCCCTCACTCTTCCCTATCCCTCTGGACTTGTCCTGGGGTAAAGGCTGCCCTTTCATCTGACGTGGTCGATTGTTCTCCGGGGAGGTGGGCTTAGCTGCAGACGTACAGGGTCAGGGCCATAGTCTGGTGGCCAGTCTCTGCACAATCAGTAAGCCAGGTCTGTGTTGTGGTGTGGAGTTCTGGCTCCCACTTGCTCCACTCCATTGTGACTCCTTCCGGAGCCATTGGCAGTGGGAGCCAGGCACCATTGAGTTCTTGTGTCCGGGGCTGTGACTAATGTCTATGTGAGATCCATGAGCCCACCGGACTACTTGTTCCCATCTGCCTTCTTCTTCCTGTGGAGGAGGGGTGACCAATCATTGCACCTTGGATGGCTGCTCATGAGGGCTGAAGACCTTGTGTCTTCTCACGGAAGCTACTCACCGAAGCAGGGCGCAGGGCACTGTCTGTGAGAACTGTGTTAGGCCCACCGACTGTGGTGACCCTGCCCACATTAGTTTTTTAGCTCACTTGGTGGCCCCCTCTCATAGTTCAATTTTACAGCCCGGGGCCTGATGGTTTGTGCTGGGAAGCAGACCCACTCGGGCAAGGCTGCCACTTCTCCTGCCGCCCCTGTGGCTCTGGTGTCCCCTCGACTGTGGTCCCAACAAAGAGGCTGAAGGTCCTGCTGCCACAGAGCATGGACCGGAACCAGTACGGGCTGACCCCGGGCCAAGTGAAGCTTGGGGGACATTTTCCTATTTGCTGTGGCTGCGCAGCTGGACAGAGGGTGGGAGGGAGAGGGGCATCCAGAAGAGCCTGCCACCTGGATCCGCTTCCATTCCGTCTGGGGGTAGGGATGAAGGGCAGGGCACATGTGCAGACACCTCCTCCCCACCCTGGCCAGGAGAACACACTCTTTCCTCAGCCGGCCACTGGGCCCAAGTCCTTCCAACACCCTCTCCTTCCTCCTCTGTGGCCTGGGCAGCAGTGAGGGTAAGAAGGGGGCGGTGAGGGTAAGAAGGGGGCGTGCGGCTGGCTGCATGCTTCATCTGCAGCACCACCCCTAGGCCATCTGGCCCCCTGCCCTAGCAGGAAGGGAGTGGGATGCAGGCAACAGAGGAAATGCTCAGAGCAGCTGTGTCTTTGCCTCTGGCTCTTCTCCGCCCACCCAGCCTGGGAGGTGCCTGGGCCCAAGGCTTCCACATCCACTCGCGGGGCAGGGGAAACACACGGGTTAAGGAACTTAGAACAGGTGAGCCAAGACTATGCTCTGTCTGTACTTCTGGGGCGGGGGGTGGGGGTGTGTGAGGCTGGAAAGTGATTTTGATTAGAGCCAGGGAGGTGGGAGGTAGATGGCTGCCTGAACCTGAACTTGGCAGGCTTGACGGGAGGTGGGGGGACAGGGGTGCTACAGGATGCAGCCTCACTCCAGGTAGTGCTCTGGGAGGACTCTGGGGTCTGACCTGGAAGCCAGGCATGTCGTCTGCTTGCCCTCTGCACAGCACTCCTCCGGTGAGGAAGGGGAGGCCCATTGCCAGTCTCGGGCTTCTTTACAGAGAGGTGAGATTCAAGAAGCCTCAGCTACTTGTCCACAGAGCCTCGTCTGGAGAGGGGAGAGGAGCCCCCTGTTCCTGCCTTCATCCCGTCCCAGGACACTAAACAAGCTGACATGCCAAAGCCCAGGGCCACACTCCTCTGGCCTCTTTCACTCAGAGCGTCCTCAACCAGAGGGTCCCTTTTGGGTGGTGGGAAAGTTTGGATCCCCAAAGTGAACCCCTGGTCTTCTACTGGGGTTTCCCACAGGTGAAATTATCCACTTGCTCTGCGCTACCAGGACCGGGCAATTCCGGGCAGAAACAGCCTCTACTGAGAAGAGTGGCTGGGCAGACCTGTTCGTGCCGTGCCAGCCCCAGCCCGCACAAAGGTGGGCAGCAGACAGGGCAGTGAGGCTGAGGGATCCTGGTGGGAGAACTGGAGGCCTAGTCACTGGTTTGGGGTTCGCCCCAATGAGCCAGGAGAGAGCTGGGACTTTCCAAAAGTCACTCCTCGCTGTACAACTGTGAACAGAGAGAATGCCCCTTCCCCAAGCCCAGGCAGCTTCTGGGACCCAGGCTGTCTTCATTCGCCATCTCAGAGAGGCCCTGGAGCTTCCCTAGCACCGTGTACTTGTACCTCGGTCCAACAGGAGGCAGGGAAGCAGTGCATCTGGTGATAGGTCATGGCAGGCCTTGGGGACGTTTGCCATTGGCTGTAGGAGCAGTCACAGGCACCTGTCTGCTATGATGCTCCGCACAGGACTGCCAGCATCCCGCCCCTTTCCATTTCGGTGGGCATAGAAGTGAGAAACTAAAAAAGAGAGCGAGTGCAAGATCGGGGTCTCCTGGGAGGGGCCTTCTTCCTGAGGCCCCGCCTCCCGGACACGACCACCTTCAGGCCCGCCTCTTGTCCATGCTCAGGGCCCCAGGACGGCAGAGGAGCCTTAGAAACCGCCTTTGTGGCTGACATGACGTCCAGTAGGAGTACGTCCAGTGAGAGGTGGTCAGGGCGGAGGTGGCCTGATGAGGTCTTGGAGCTATCCGCCAGTGGGCGGGCAGAACTCTACAGAAGCGAAAGCGTTGTTTTCCCATCTCCTGATCAGGGAGGGGCATTTCCACAGAGAGCACCTTCCCCAGCATGAGGGGAAGGTTTCCCCGGCCCCTCGGGAAACCTGCCAGGCACTGTTTTCCTCGAACGGACGGACAGACGGACGGCAGCTCTGCCTGGAGGCAGCTTCTGGGACCCAGTAGGGCACAGACCCTGCCGGGCGAGAAGCTGGCAGATGGGCTGGGTCGGTCTTGCCCACACTGGGCGTCTCAGCACACTGGCCCGCAGCGGAGTGAGAAAGCGGGCCCTGAGGGGCTGCAGCCCTGCCGTGGCGCTCTGGATGATGAAGCCCCCCTAGTCTCCCAGCAAGAGCCACCCATTTCTCCAGCCCCGCGGTTCCCTCCAGGCCTTGGCTGAGAGGCCTAGCCTCAGCTAACATGGTGCCTCTGCAGTCAGTGTGAGGGCCCCCGTTCCTCCTGGCCATGAGCCCCAGCTTCCTCCTGGCACAACGAAGCAGATGGACCGAGCGTCGCCGAGGTCCTCCCACTGTTGTTCTTCCAGGCACAGCCAACCTGGCCCCCTTCCCACCTCGCTGAAGGGCTTGGGCCTGGGTGAGCCTGAAGGCAGAACCCGTGGTGTGACAAGGCCTGAGATGCCCACCGGGGCTCTGATTCCACCCAGTGCGGCTCCCCTCTGCCCCACGGGCACCTCGCCCAGAGCTGTCCAGGCCCTGCCGCTCCAAGGACTAGCTCAGAGAAGCCTGGGCCGAGAGGGCTGAGCCCAGCCCGCAGCAGCCTGGGCTGCCAGCCAAGCCCAAGCCCCCCTCCTCCAGCGAGGCCCCGAGCTTGTGGCCGCTCGCTGGCAGAAACACGCGGGTGAGCTTCGCCGGCCTTCACCACACTGTTCTTCTCCATATGGAACAACAAACACTTACCTAACACATCGGCGTCAGTGTGTGTGTGGGGGCCGCGTCTAACCACAGATGTAATAATCACGAGCCTGCACGCCTCCTCAGAGCCCCCCCTCCCCCGTTCCAGGAGCGACTCCAAGTGCACTGAGTCATCCCCCCACGCCAGCAGCTCCTTCCGCAGAACCTGACACTCACCTCCTGCAAGTCACACGGCTCACACCCACAGCACACCTCATGTCACAAATAGAGTAACTATTCTCACTCGCCCCCCAGTCCTATGTGTGGTCCGAGGAGCCTCGCTGGCACCTACACTCGGCTCCTCTCCATCCTACCGGAGGGCAGCATCCCCCAGGGAGACCCAGGGACTCCTATGGGGAAAAGCCAGCAAATCTCCTCAGTTCACCTCCAAGGCAGCTGACATGTACAGAACCACCCGGCCCGAAGAGTCGGGACGGGGCTCTGGTCCCGGGCGAGAGCCCCGTCTCAGAAACGGCTCTGCAGCAGTCTCGCGGTGAGGGCAGGGCAGAGCACTCCATCCTGGGTGGATGCCTGGCCCATGCCTAGGTCTCTATTCCACCCCAAGGTCATCTCTCTGGGGAGGGGTGGCTGCCCTGACACCTCTGGCCTTTAGCAAACTGGAAATGAAGGGCCGAGGAGAAGCTTCCCTGAGCCCCGCCGGAAGGAAGCTTTCTGCCACCCCTAAAACCTTGCTCCCATCACCAGCATCCCCGTCTGGGGCCCAGGCGGCGACAGAGGCAGCCCTGGGGCCAAGGAACCCCGCTTCTATTTGGGCCCTTCAGCCGCTCTTGGCTCTGCAAATGAATACCTGAGGGGGCCAGGTTGTCCGTGAGACTGTCATTAGCCCTTTCCAAGTCCACCTTTCCAGGCTGGACCTGGGCCAAGTCAAAAAGCAGCTTCTACACCCAAGGGGGTATGAAAATTCCCTAACAGGGGAGGCGAGCCCCCCCCCCCCATCTTGGAGCCCGGACAAGCCCCCAGGTGGCCAAGGACAAGGATGAGGAAAGGAGAGTAGGTGGAAAAGGCTGGAGGGCAGGAGAGAGCTGGTGGCAGGGGGCGGCACGGGCTCGTTACCTGGGTGAGGTGAGGATTGGGGTTGAACCCACACTGGTTGCAGACCTTGTGGTGACACTGGGTGCAGGTGTTGAAGTTTGGCTGGCTGGGCGTTGACTTGAGGTCCGAGGTCTTGCATATGGGGCACAGAGTGCTGCTGGGCAGGGGGGCAATCTGGGGGACGGAATAGGGTGATGTGGGGGTGCTGCCTCTGTCCGGTGACACCGAAGGGGACCGCCCTGCTCTCTGCGTCCTGCTGTCCACCTGCAGCATCCTGCGGGGGCCATCTGCCTCCTGGCCTGCTGGGCCCTGGGCCCTCGTTTCCCGGGGGCTCTCCCGGCCCGGAGCAGTCGAGGAAGCCTGCTTCGGGGTTGGGGAAGCTGCTCGCTGGCTACCCAGGGGGTCTTTGGGGTCCAGTCTCCTGGAAACGCTGAAACGACATTGAAGATGGTGGTGTGTTAGAGACACGTCTTAGAGAAGCAGCCGCAGGGAGGCCTCTGGTGAGTCAGGTGGCCCTGCCAAGTGCCATCACCACCCTCCCCTCCTGCCTGATGGTACCGCCATAGCCATCGTGTGCCGAGGGCTGACTGACCCCCAAGCCCAGCCCAGACAAGTGTCTCCCACTTGAGCCCTGGGCCAGGTGGCGGGAGTCTGAGTGCCCTGGTAAAAACGCAGGTGCTGGTTTGGCAGATCTGGGCTGGGGGCCAAGAGTCTGCATTTTTAAAGAGCTTTCAGGTGAAGTACACACCGAGAACCAAGGCTTTACACCTACCCATTAGAAACATCTAGGGTGATTCAAAGAATTCTGGCGCCTGGTTTGTATCCAAGAGGGTCTGTGAGGGTGGGACCGTGGCATCAGTACTGTGCCCTCTCCAGGGGAGCTCAGCTTGCAGCCCGCCCCTGTATGTCGCTTTCATAGGCTGACCCCCGAGAGCTGAGGACAGGGCACATCTTAATGGCCAGCAGGAGCCATCCCCGTCGCAGGCTCGATGCCAGGCAAAGCCCATCAAGACGTGAGGAAGGGTGATGCTTTTGCGGGTGCAAGGCTGTGGTCAGTGTGGGGCTGCAGCCTCCCTCCAACTGCAGCCTGCCCAGGCCAGCAGCGTTTGGTGGTCTGCTGGGGCAGCAGGGGACAGGCAGGCAGACATTGGTTCCCTCGTGGGCCTTCCCCTTGGATCCAGCTTGCGGCACTTCTGCACATTCCCTTCATTTCCAGTTTGAAAAGGGCCGAGCAGGCGCTGCTTGCAATGGTTTCCCACAAAGCCACCCCCGGCTCCATCTGTATCCGTTTGGACACTTGCTGGCACTCCGCAGACAGGGCAGCCTGGCTGAGAGCCACCCTGGAGGCCCAGGGCAGCTGCCTGGGGCAGGCCTACCCTGGCCCACTCTGCCCCAGTCTTCTCAGGGTCTTACCAAACCAAAAAGACCCCTACCTACTGCCAGCAAGTGATTCTGCCTCACAGCAGCCCCTTACAGGGCTCTGAGACTGTGGATCTTCACAGTAATCGGGGCCACTCTTTTTTTGCAAAGTGGCTGGTGAGACCTGAACTGCTGACCTTGTGGAGAGCAGCCCAAGGCCTAACCCACAGTGTCACCAGGCCTCCTGCAGGGTCTCCCAGGAGGGGCTTTTTAAGATCCTGGAGCTAACTGGTGAGGTGACTTGGGACAAGCCATCTCAGCAGGGAGATGACAATCCGGGCCTGTGTCTGAGGGTGTGTCCTGCCCTGGTCACGCCAGACCAGGAGACACCAGGAGGGAGCCCTGCTCCTGGACACTCAGTGCCATCCTTTCTCCTCTCTGAGCCGCTGCTGGCAGGGGCACCCCCGTGCTCTGATAGCACTTCTAGAGGAAAGAAACAATCCATTAAATTGCCACCCGGCCTTTCTGTCACCAACCAACACACACCCATCTATGCAGCCACTTTGCGCTGCCGGAAGCCAATCAGAGTCTGAGACTACCCCGGGGGGCCATCTGTGGCCTTTATCCCATGACCACAGAGCCCTCCCCAGGCTATACCAGGTCTGTGGTTTCTGCTCAGACACTGAGCCATTTTCACGGAAGCTGCATTGCCTGGTACACAACAGGCAATCTTCTGTGTACCCCGTGGCTGTTTAGCTAAATGTCCCACCAGGACGCTGTTCTCTGGGAAATGTTTAATGTGACGAGGAGGGAGCCTCAATTTGTCGAGTCTCAACACGATGAGGACAGGGGAGGAGCACACACTACCTTCTGCACCCGGCAGAGCCTGCACTGCGCAAGCGGCGCTCCCTGCCCCAGACCTGTGTGCACCTGGCGCACAGTGGTCTCTGCCCAGGGCCCTCAGCCTCTCCTGCTCCTGGACGGTTGCTCAGACCTCTCCCTTGGTCCTTATGCATCCGGGGGTTGATTTGTGTCCCCCTGGAAAGATATGGCCATGTCTTCACCCCTGGCACCTGCAAGTGTGGACCTTCTTTAAAATAGTCTTTGTGGATGTAATTGCGTAAGCTGGCATGAGGCCATGCTGGGCTCAGGTGGACCCTCAGACTGGCGTCCTGATATAGAGAAAAGCCGGGCCCAAAGGGAAGGTGGCCATCTGACACCCCCATCAGCCCAAGACCTCCTGAGACCAGAAGCTGGAGCTGGTGAGCAGGGGGTCACTCCTTCGCCGGGGCTTCGGAGAGGGCATGCCCCTGCTGACACCCTTGACTTCAGGCCTGTAGCTTCCAGGACAGTGAGAGGATACGCGTCTGTCCGTCCGTCCGTCTGTCTATCTGTTGTTGGGAACCACTGGTGTGTGGGATTTCGAGATGGGAGCCGTAGGAGAGCCTCCAGCTTCTCCCCCTCCCTCCTCTTCCCAGTCGCTGGTCTCTGGCTGGCCTTCTCACTGGGAAAGCAGGAGCCGGCAGAGGGAACCTGCACGCCCACAGCCTCCCGGCGTGGGTCTCCAGACGTGTCCACCTCCTGCACCCAGAGCCCGCTTCTCACCTTCACAAATTCTCCCCTCTTCCTTCTCTAGGGGAGCATTTCAATTACCATATACACATGCTTTCCCCAGCCTAAAAAAAAGAAAAGAGAAGAAAGACGTTTGACCCTCTGCAGCTACCGTCCACTCTCCTTTACAGCAAGAGGCCTTGAGAGGGTTCTCACCACTCACGGCCTCCCCTCCCCTCCCCCTCTCGGCCCCCTACAGCGCACTGGAGATGCCAGCCTTTCACTGGGGGTCAAGGCCCTTCCCAGCTCCTCAGTTCCCTTGGCTTTACTTGGCCATCTGTAGCACTCCGTAGCACCGACTCTCCCTCCTGACCCCGTTGTGCGAAACACCTTTTCTGTCTCTTACTGAAGATGCAGCTTTTACGTGGGTACAGTACGTCACGCACACAACACAGAACACGTGCTCGTCGACTGCTGACGTCACGAGGAAGGCTTCCAGTCCATGGGTTATTAGTTACTTCTTGGAGAGAAAAAAAGTCTGTGTGGGTTTTTAACTGCATGGAGGGTCGACACTCCTAAGCCCCGTCCGGTTTGAGGGTCTGCTGTCTGTAAGCCTCCCAGCAAACGGTGGGGTTAGAAACCTTGGGCAGAGACGGCTGCACACAGGCAGGAAGGGAACGCACCCGGGCGTCATGTCTTGCTATTGGTAGAGCACAGGGGTTTCAGTACCTGAGCCGCCAGAACATGCCCTCCACCACGGACGCCCACCAGTGCCTCTTACGGGGGAGCACAGGGTGGTAGTGGAGGGACTCCAGAGGCTCTGTGACATGGGCTCCTTCCTCTGAAAGCTCGTTGACATGGCACTCCCTAGCAAGGTGTTTCTGGCCCCTTGGCTCCTCACAGTGTCCCCAGGCCCCAGCCCCAGGCCCACGTGGCCCCAAGCGGCTACACCATCAGCCTGTGGGAGCGGAGTGACAGAAAGACGCATCCACACTACAATGAATTCCCAAAGCGAGGGGAGACCAGGGCAGGGACATCGTTCCATTGTCAGCCCTCTGCCTGGAGCTTGTCCAGCAACCGGAGCAGCCCACGGAGAACCTAACTCCAGCTTCATTCATGCCTGCAAGTCTCGGGGCACTCCGTCACTCACTGACCGTGGGATTGTGACCGGTATTGCTGGTGTAAAGGAATGATCTCTTCTAATGAGAGCTGAGTCCACAGGTGTTCATTTGCATCGTATACATATTTTATAAGTATTCTTATCATCTTCATAAGTACCTATTTAATATTGCATTAAAATAAATTGCTTAAAAAGTGAATCAGACAGGGGACCCAGTCCCCTGGGCGCCTCCAGTCTAGAAAGGAGGCAGATGTGCTCACACCGCCCTACGAGACCAACTGCCACGTGGCCCAGGGCAGCGGCAGAGGGCTCCTTCGGGGAGGTCTGAGCAGGTCTCTCAAAAGAGGAGGCAGCTAAACTGGGTCTTAAAGGGTGAACTATCCTCTCTGAGCAACACCTGAGCAGGGGATTGAAGCACACGTGCAAAGGCCCAGAGGCGTGCCCGCGGGGGTGGGCCAGACAGGGCAGGCACTTCAGGGGTAAGCCGTTGTCATTCATGGGACCTGCATCGGCCAGCTGAATTGTGTGAAGGAAATGGAGCCTCGGAGAGCTAAAATGGGGAGGGCCTGGACAAGGCGGCTGAGGCAGCGGTTCTCAACCTGTGGGTCGCAACCCCTTAAGGGGGGGTTGAAAAACTCTTTTGCAGGGGTCGCCCAATTCATCACAGTAGCAAAATGGCAGTGATGCAGGAGCAATGAGAATATGCTACGGTTGGGGTGAGGAACTATGAAAGGGTCGTGGCGTGAGGGAGCTTGAGAACTACGGCTCTGAGGTTTCTGTATCAAGGGGAAGAGAGAGGCTGGAGGCAGAGAAAGCCGTGAGAATGAGACGACTGTGCAGGAGGTAACCCCGGGGTGAGAGGGAGGAGACGTCCAGGACGGACGCTCTGAAGTCCAGGCAGGAGGGGTGCTGTTAATGGAGCCGGGGAGCCAGGGAATGGGAGGGTCAGGAGGCTAAGTAGTGGATCACAAGTTTCTGTTTGGATGTGCTGGGAGTTGGGGCTGTCTAAGGAGCCCTGGTGGCGTAGTGGTTACTCGCTGGACTGCAAACCGCAAGATCAGCAGTTTGAAACCGCCGGTTGCTCCGAGGGAGAGCGATGAAACTGTCTACTCCCGTCAAGAGTCAGTCTCGGAAACCCACAAGGCAGGTCTACCCTGGAGTGAGCTAGGCTTTTTGGAAACGACATCGGGAACGGTGGCTCAGACCCCGAGTTAGTTCAATGTGAGGCATCCAGGGAATTGTTTCAAAATCCCGCCCCCCGCCCCCCCAAAGCTCTGTGGGGAGCCCAACATTTGTGGCAGCAGAGGCGCTTCAAGAAGCGGCAGTCATTAAAGAGGGGCTGAGAAAAAGGCTGCCCGGGGCTGGGGGGGTTCTTGTGAGGAGAACCTTTCAACAAAGTCAAGTGCCGCCATGAGCCAGTGAGCCCTGAAGGTTAGGGGCCCTCCCCAGCACCCGCCTGTGGCTGGCCACGTTAGACAGCTGAGTGCCATGGCTAGTTGGTGGAGAAGACCCAGGGCCAGGACCATGTGCCACACCCCTGGACACAGCCCCCACGGAAACAAGGTGGCTGGAACAGCCCAGGGCCTCCTCCCTGGGAGCAACAAAGCGAGCCCTCCAGAAGGCCCCCCCCACCAAAATGCAAGTGCTGCAAAGGAAGTGGGGAGGCGTTGCCCACAGGCGGACCTCAGCCCGACGGACCGACAGACGGGAAGACGTGGTCTCCTGCGCTTGGATCTGCAGCAGCAGGGTCCTGTGAGGCCCATCTTCCACCCAGCAGCCTTGGGGAGCTCTGTGCCTCGGGGAGGGCCGGGGTCAGACCTGAAGAGCAGAGAGGGGCACTTCCACGAAGCAGAAAGGACACGGCGGCGCGGTAGAGGGAGTCGTGTGAAGCTCAGACACAGCCTCCAGGAGGCATGGAGCCATCTGAGCAGGGAGATGGCAAGAATGCCTTCTCTGGGGTAAATCGTGGTGCAAGGATGGCCTACGATGGCCGAACACCTAGGAGTCCAATGCCCCCGGGCCTGCCTCCCTTGCAGCATTTAGGATCCTTCACTCAGAGCCGTGTGCCTTTAAACAGGAAGGAGCCCCTGGCCACAGGAGGACTCCTGGGGAAGGGGTGCAGAGCCAGCTCAGCCAGCCTCTTCTCCCTCAGGAGCCCACAGTGTCTTTGTCTCACACCATGACCGTGACAGAGGGAGCTTATCCAGGATGCACTGGTCAGGCGGAGGAAGCCCCTGGAAAGACATGGGCCAACATGCTCTGGAGCGCAACCGGTACTGCGGACTCCAGGTCCACCCTCAAGGAGCTGTGGACCCGGTAGCTGTGGACCCGGTAGCTGCGGACCCGGTATTTGCCTGGGCTGTGACGGAAGAAGCGTGGAGCAACTCCGATGGCTGTACCTGGGGAGAGTCTGCTCAGGCTGAGGATGATGGGACGGAAAACAGGGAGGAGGAGATAGCTGCTCAGCGAGGAACCAAGCTGTGCTCCACCTGACAGCATTCTAGAGCATGCCCCCTACTGCCGCCAGCAGACCATGATAGAGAAGTTTTATACCAGTCAGGGGCTATCTTTGTTCACTGAAAGGGTGGTAGGCAAACTGCTCTTCTAACGCAGAACGGAAGAGTCCCACGGCTTCACACAAGGTTCTGATGAATGTGTGGCTGACCTTTCTGCCATGGGCAATTACAGCTGGGCAAACCCTGTGGGTGGTCCCTCTCCTGCGAGGCCCAGGAAGAACCACTCCAAGACCCAGTGGTCTCCGTGCATTAGGCAGAGGAGCAGGGGTTGCCAACGGTCCTGCGAGGGGTCTCAGTCCTGGTTGCTGGGGTTCCTCTACAGATATGGATGTCAGAATTATTCACCAAGTGTGGGCTTAGGGTGGAAAAAAATCCCAATTTTCACCAACATTTCAATTTTTACAAATGAAAACTTTCTCAATCATCCGAGTCTTTTCCGGGGACCCCAGTGCAAGGTGAGCCATAGACTGAGCTGCCATTCATAGGCCAGCAGGCCAAACCCGCCGGTCACACATGCCTCAGGAGAAAAGTAAGGGTGTCTACTATTCCCGTAAAGATTCCCCAAAGTCTCAGAAAACCAAGAACCCTTCTCTGTCCTACAGGGCTGCTGTGCTGGAATTGACTCGATGACAGTGAATTTGGTGTTTTGTTTGTTTGTTTATCTCCTGCCTTTTGACCTGGGCAGGGAAGGTGGCAACCCCTCCCCTCCCCTCCCACAAAGTTCTTGAGAAGCGGGAGATGATATATTAGCATCGCTGCTACACTGCACCCTGACCTTCTCATCTCCTCCCCAGACCCTTCCTTAAGGGGATGTCCAGTTGCCTACAGACGGGCTTTGGGTCCCCTCTCCGCACTCCCCATCATTCACTATGATATGATTTTTTGTTCTTTGATGCCTGATACCTGATCCCTTCAACACCTCGTGATCATACAGGCTGGTGTGTTTCTTCCATGTGGGCTTTG